AAAAATTTCAAGATTCTTTCAAGCAAATTAAGAAAGATACCAAAAAAAAGGTCAGGACCTATTTTGATTAGGTACATTTTGTGCCACACATCACTTTCTTTCATATCTCTCATATAGTCATACACCAAAATGCAGGGGAATCAAGTTGTTGCTTTTAAAAAGCAGCATAAAACTTGCTACATAGAGGAGCGAAGTCACACTTACCAACAAGGTGATAACAGTACTGCTAAGGTCCAATATGAGTCTCAAAGCTTGTTCTCGAAATGCCATCAAATCGAGAAGTAACTAATCCACGGAAAAGAATCAATTACTATTAGAAAATACAAAAAAGGACAATTTTCATAAACTAATTATACATAAGAAAGAAATTAACAATAGAATTGAAAACCAAGAAAGGTAAGGTTATCCAGCCTATATAGCAACTAAAATGCCTGCAAGGCATTATGTAACTTAAATCATGCAGCGATAGGTACAACACCGACAATGACACTAAATCCTAGAATTTAAAGTCTTAAGCTTGGAAGAAGGTGAAATTATGATAGGTCTTAAATCCCTTTTTGATAATTTATACTTTTGCAGGGCAATTAACCTCTCACCTGAACCCATGGTTCCAAACTCTGCAAATGAACTTCTGCATTACCACTCAAAGCATCCAAAGCAGCCTTATCAACCTGCAGCATTATTTATCAATTGGCAATATAACATTTTGATACTCACTACTAGGAAAAGGGTAAAAAATTTCCACCTATAACAACATGTAAAATGCAGTTCTTACCCGCTCAAGCTGCAGTTTGCTGAAGTGCTCAGGAAACTTTTTCGAGAGCAATATACAAATCCTTGGATGGTTGGGGAAAACACCTGCTTTCCAAAATGCTTCTGAAAATGCATGACCTATAGGATCTGGGTAGTCCAAGATTTGGTTCAATCTATACATTTTGGCCATAAGGCCGTCTGCAACTTCAACAAGTTGTGCTACCCACTGCATGTTCAAGCCCTTGTTTGATCCAACACCCAAACTCTGCACCTGACCATCAGAATTCATGTGCCTAGAGCTTCTAGTCGTGAAAGGAGAAGTCGTGTCAGGACCCAAATACTCAGTCCACCTCGATGGACCATCCCAATCCCTTGATCTCCCACCCCTAGGTGATAAAGATGAATCTTGTGAAGATGAATAATGTTGCCGTGATTTCGCCATGGATGAATCAATTCACTCAAAAGATTCTACAAATGAAAGTTCAATAAAGACCATAATTATATATAGTCCCACAAATTGCACTGTAAAGAGCTTCTTTTCTCCTACGTTTTCCCCTTTTCAGTTCACTCTAATTCAAAGAGAAAGAATCCAATGACCTCAAAATCTTGGAAAAGAAAAAAGCAAAAAAAGAAGAAGAAAAAAAAGTAAAATACTAGTAGTACTTGCTTTTAGTCTTCCAATTGACCTAATTACCCATTTTACCAACCATTTGGATGTATTATCAACTTTCATTTTACTTTCGACGAATATGCTTAACAGATAAAATTAAACTAAATTTACAAACATTTCAAATTCAAAGTAAACAACCCAACATTGTTAGCTTCCCGTTGAGCAATTCAATTATAAACCAAAATTAACTAAAAAAACCCCACAACCAGAAACCAAAAAAGAAACGATAATGAAATAAATCCAAAATTAGAAACTGAAGAAGTTGAACTGATTTTACCAGAGCTCAGCTTTACCACATCTTTGTGAAGAAGCAAATACAGAGACAGTGACAGAGAATCTGTCGTTGACAATGCAAGAAAAAGGGAACGAAGGTTCGGTTTTAGAAGTTTAGATTCGAAAACAGACGGGTTTTTCTTCTTCTTCTTGTTTGTAGAGCATCGAGTCCAGATCTGAGAGAAATTAAAAAAAAAAAAACAGAGCTGGAATCGTCAAAGCTAAACTAAGTGAGGGCTTATTTATAAATGAAATTGTAAATCTGGATAATTTTACAAATTTTCATTTTTTTTGTCTCGTCTCGTGTATTTTGTTTTTTATTTAATAATGAGAAAATAGCGCGTACATTGGAATAGTTGGACAAAATTTGCCGTTAGTCGTAATCTTGTAATAGATTTTTGGATTTTTTTTATTTTGATTAGCAAATTTAAAAAATAATGTTTTGATTATCCATATTATTGATTTATTATTATTTTAATTATTAAATTATTTTTGAATAATTTATTAAATTATTATTTATAATTAGATAAAAATAAATTATTTTCTGAATAATTATTTTTATCTTTTGGTCAAATTATGTACTTAAACTATTATATTTTATTATTTTAAGTTTTATTATTTTTCAGTTAAAAAATTATTCTTTGACCAATAATATATTGACACATCATACAAAATTATGTACTTATTTTCATAAATAATCAGTGGTTTAATAATTTAAGGACTTATTTTGATAAAAAAATAGTTGAGATATTTAAAGTGATTACATATAATAGTTTAAGATTACATATAATAGTTTAAGTACCTAGTTTGACAAAAAAAATAATTTAATTACCTAAAGCAAAAAATAGCATAATTGAGGTACCTTTTTAGATTAATCAATTTGATATTTTATTTAAAATTTAATGATCAAATTGAAATTTAATTGTTTTTATTAATGTTTCACACCATCAATCGAATAGGAATTAAAGATTCAATCGTCAAAATATAACACATCAATAGCAAAAATAACTGAAATATTAGTTTTCAAAATTTGATGACCAAAATGAAAAAGAAGAAAATTCAAGCAAAAGTTACATCAGTAATTTACCCAATAATTAATGTCAAGAATAAAATTCGCTGCTAATTTGTTACAGTTTTATCAGCATCATCCGTATCAATTATTCTCAATTTTTAAGGTAAATTATATAATACGAATATACTTTATAATTACTAACCTAATTTAACGAAATAATTATATTTTTTAAAATTTAATCAAAACTGTGATCGGTATTTTTTTAAACCAATTTATTCGAATCATTTGGAAAACATTTTTTATTTATTTTTAGTCACTCATTATTTTTCACTTAACCCTAAATTTCATATCTTAAAAATTGGTGTGTATGAATATTTTTAAAAGTGATATAATTTAAAGGGAGAATAACAGTGACATCGAGGTGTTTGACGATTTAAAGGGCTTTGGTGTTTGGCAAACGATGATAACAGTGAGAGCGATGACGATAGATGGGCGATTAGTCAGTGGTGGCAACAGTAAAAAAAATAAGGATTAGAATTAAGGATTTGAGAATGATATCGGGGATTTGAGTTTTTTTATTATCATTTTTAGACAAATTAGGGTTTTTATAATAAATACAATAATATTTTAAAGTTTTTAGAATTTATTTTTTTTAAAAATTGTAAAGGCGACACATGTATTTTAACAATATAATTTAACAGTCGTTATGCCCCTGACACCTAAAATAATAACTCTATAACGTTAGACACCGAAATGAATCGAAAAATATTATAGTTTAGACACTTACATTATAATTAAGCCTATAAATTAAAGTATAAGAAAAGGAGGGGGATTAGGTGATATTTGGTTTGGTTTTATGACTTAGGAGGACCACATTAAGCCACCACCAATCCATCATTCCTCTATTTTCTCTTTCTTTTTTTACTCTTAAAATATAAGAATGAATAATTAACTTATCATCCATAACCATCATCACAAAATCCATTAACTTTATACATATATAAATAAATAAATAAATATATAATATAGGTATCGGCATAGGACCCGAACCGATTTGATCCGGAAAAAAATTCGGGGTCGGGTCGGGTTTGGATTTAGGGTGAAAAATATTGACTCGACCCGACCCAACCCGACCCAAAAAATATACAATTGTTTCTTATATATTTAGAAATAATTACAATAATACCCCTCTACATATTATTTTTTTCAATTAAGTCACTGTTTTTATTGAATGAAAATAATATTTTATTATTATTTTTGGTCGGGTCGAGTCGGGTCGGGTTTTTAAGTTGTATATCGGGTAGGGTTCGGGGCGGGTGAAATTTTGTTTTGGTCGGGTCGAGTTGGGTCGTGGTGGAGGATTTCTTGTTCTCGGGTCGGGTCGGGTGGACCAAAAACCAGACCCCACCCGACCCATGCCCATCCCTATATATATATAAGAAGCGAATACCATGACATTAGATAATAATCATTAACAATAACATTTGAGTTGTAATGTTTATAAATGGATACTCCTTCTGATTTAAATAAAAAAAAAGTAGAGTTTGTAATTTATGGTGGAATTGCAAACGATCATAACATTCTAATTAATAGTACTCAAGAAATCTGAAGAAGAATAGTGTTGGTGTTAATCATAGATAATGATGACTATTCGTAGCTGATAATCTGAAACAGATCTAACTATCAATAACAGATTGTGTTCTGATAGATCGCATAAACCTACCAGAAATCATGTTAAGAGATTATCTATTTTTCGTGGGTATAATATTTCGAAGACTTCTAGAAGCCAAATTCAAGTTTCCAGGAGTGGTTAGTGTTGAACCGGTCTAACTCTAGAATGAAAATTGAAGGGTTCTGATCCGATCACAATCTGGCATGTGATTTTTCAACGCATTAGTGGAAAGAAGAGAGCTCACCAAATGGTAGGTACGAGGTTCTTTTACAAACGCAACCTTAACAACAACAAAAAATTAACATCTTATTACATTAATTAAATCTTCTTAGTCCTTTGGTCTTGTTGATGTCACTCAAAGTCAGCATTGACGTCATAAATGGTGAATCATGAGTTCATCATATCACAACATCAGTGGTGCCATTGATGAAACTAACTAAATGAAATGAGAACCAGTGTTAATCATGCGATATCGATACATGTTTCGTCTTCGAACCGTCGTTTATATGTACCGAGACCGGTAATGGTTTGATGTATCGTTTCACCGTTAGTCCGATTCCGTGTTGTCTTCCCTGGTACTTGTATAATCGTTATTGAATTAGACGATGAAATCACTTCTGTTGCATGAAATCATTATTCATTCATCTAAGCTAAAGAGAAAACATGACACCAAACCCGAAATCCGACGTAGAAACATCAACATGACAACAACCTTCCCCAACTAGTTGACTTCACATAGCATCTCCGCCGGAAAAATGCCTCGATATCGAACATGCCAAACACATCTGGTCAGTGCTTTGAATCTTCTTCCTCGCAGAACTTAGAGTATACTTCCGAGTCCATCAGGTTTTTCAACTCCCCGGAATCATTCATCTCAACCTTAATAATCCATCCATCCTCATATGGACTTGAGTTAACCTAAATCACGATGAACAAAGATTGTAGAAACAACACAAGCAAAAGTGACTGTAAAATGAAAAATTGACATTAAAACATCCAAATTTTCCTTCATGACCATGGCTCATATTCGGAAGACACGAGCACGAGCGCGTATGCACACATGCGGAAGGCATGGTTACGCAATCAGTATAATTGAACCCAGAAACCATACAAAAATTGGAAGGGTAAGAGTGCTAACCAGAGCAGGAGTGTTGCTGAGCTTTTCATTAACTTCAACCACTTTTCCCGAAACAGGAGAATTAACATCGCTAGTAGCCTTGACGCTTTCGACCGCTCCAAAACTGTCACCCTGCTTCACGGCAGCTCCCACTTCAGGTAATTCAACATACACAACATCACCTAAATGATCTTGAGCATGATCGGTTATACCAATCGTGGCAGCCTTACCATTGACCTTCACCCACTCGTGAGAATCGGCATATTTCAGATCCTTTAAAACTGCAGGAATAGAATAGAGGTGTTTAAAACAACCAACCAGCTATAACACATAATATAATAGATAAAGAAGCCGATCATGTGATCCAAGGAATCGAATATCCTTTTCATACACAGGCATCACAGGTAGTACAACACCTAAAATAAATATCACAATAACATTTCATCATGTATCATGGAGGTAATTTGCTCTAAGGCGCTGCTTCGACGAACAACGAACTTCCGCAAGGAGCAAAGTTTGAAGTTATATAATGGTTAACTCAGTCTAATACTGCCAAGACATTTTAATTCCAAATAATAGAGCTCAACTATACAAATAAAATGCTCACCACAAGTTGAGGACAACATACCAGTACTAAAAAGAAATCAGAGTCATTTCAGTTTCCGCAATTTTCTATATCACTTTTTTAACTTATATATACACACACACACAGGCAAATATCCGAGCTTGACTCGGATTAGCAAAAGATCGCACCTAATAGCAATGACAATGCATAACATTATGAATCATTATCAATCTAAATAAGGGAACAATCAGACGAAATTCTAAAGTCATTATTTTCACGAGCAACACAACCATTATTGCTTCAAACACCTGCACCAATACTCGGCAGTTGCCCAGGTGCAACTGTCCCCTTCCTCAACTGAAGGTATAAACCAGAGACGGACGCAAGATTTTATGTTAAGGGATGCAGACTTAAGAAGTTAGATTAAAAATTTAGGGAATGAAAAATTACAAAATTTCAGAGTGCAAAATTAGATCATAAAAAAAATTACATAAACAATACGGGGATTTGATATTTTTAGGGGTGCGGCCGCACCGGAACACACCCTCGGTCCATCCTTGGTCTCAAGTTCAACTGCACCGATTGAATCACAGCCAGATTACCATCACTTTTAATGCTATAGTGTCTAGTATTAACCACGTCTCTAGCTATACAAAAGCTGTGTATACAGTGATGGATCAAAGGGAGCAGTCGTTCCCCATTAAATTTCAAATTCACATATATTTTATATATATTCTATTAATAATCTATGTTAGTCTCCTTAAACTTTATAAGTTCACCCTGTATCATAAAATATATATCAGTTCCAACTGTATTACATAGAAGGTGAAAGGCTTTAGGCTCCTTTGATGGTTCTGAATTGATCATAAACGAAAAGCCATTATTACAGACATTTGGAACTTTTATATCCACAAACGAAACATAATTCCTAAAACTCTAAAGCTATGCATTAGCACTCGGCATTACATAAAAAAACCCAATCACATAAATCGAAATCTAATCTTTTTTTCTACTAAAAGGTAAGATCTTGGATCAAAATAAAAAAAATGATATCCCAAAAACGAAATCAACACCCAAAACCATGGAAATGAAAAGTTATAGAAAATATAATGAATTACCAGTGGAAAAGCCTCTATGGAAGACGGAGATCCGAAGGCAAGAAGCCGCCCTAGAAGCCCACATCATTGTTGAAGCCGTTTCTAATGTAAATATCGACAACCGACGAAGTGCAGTGACTGCCAGGTTCTTGTTTTTGTTTATATATAGTAGTATATTGTTTGGGGTTGGTCGAGGGTGTGTGACCGGGTGAGCGTACCTTTATTTTCAAGGTTAAATTACGCTTTTAGTAACTAAACTATTAGCTTTGATCCATTTTAATATTTTAATATTTTATTTTTTTCAAAATCTACCTAAAGTTTAATTTTTATTTCATTTTAGTACCTCACTGTTAAAAATTTCAATTTTTATTTCATTTTAGTATCCCATTCAAATTTTAACGTTAAATTTTGAAAAGATTGAAAGTTTTTGTATTAAAACGGGCCAAAACTGGTAGTTTAGGTATTAAACATGTTAAATTTTTAACGGCAGTGTACTAAAATAAAATAAAAACTAAACATAATATATAATTTTAAAAAATTTAAAAATTTAAGTACTTAAACGGACTAAAACTGATAGTTAAAGTACTAAGCGTAGTTTATCCTGTTTTTAATGTGGATAGTGACGAAAAATTGAATTGCTAAAACATGTGCATAGAGGATTAAAAAATATATTTTATAATTTTTAATAAAAATATCAGATAAAGACTGAATATGATAAGTTAAAAGTTTTAGGGGCCAGAAATTTATATATAAGCAAAAGGAGCATAAATTGTTGGTGGTGGATCCGTGTCAGCAAACCCACTTGTTAATGACCGGAAAACGCCGTAGTGGTGGTTGGTGAGAATGAGATCGAGCTCCAGTTTTTCTCAAATGAAATGGGAATCACGTCCATTACGCTTCATCTAAGCTTAGGAAAAAACATGACACCAAATCCAAATAGGAACATCAACATGAAAGCAACATTTCTCAACCGGTTGGCTTCATGGAAACAGCCGTTGTTTCTCTCTAGGCACGGCCTCTCCTTGGTGAAATGCATCGACATCGAACATGCCCAGCGCATCTGGTCGGTGCTGTGGATATTCTTCCTCACAGAACTTCGAGTATTTTTCCGGGTCCGTCAGGCTTTTCAACTCCCCGGCATCGTTCATCTCAACCTTAATAATCCATCCATCCTCGTATGGACTCGAGTTAACCTATATTGTGACGAACAAAGATTGTATAAGCAAAATTGAACATAAAAAATTACTAAAAACATCCAATTTTCCCGAAACCATACAAAATTTGGAAGGGTAAGAGTGCTAACCAGAGCAGGAGAGCTGCTGAGCTCTTCATTAACTTCAACCACTTTTCCCGAAACAGGAGAATAAACATCACTAGTAGCCTTGACGCTTTCAACCGCTCCAACTTCAGGTAATTCGACATACACAACATCACCTAAATGATCTTGAGCATGATCGGTTATACCGATTGTGGCAGCATTACCATTAACCTTCACCCACTCGTGTGAATCGGCATATTTCAGATCCTTCAAAACTGCAGGAATAGAAGAGAGGTATATAATAGATAATGTAGCTGTAACTCTAGACAGAAATAAATTTGTAGCGGATTCTGTGATCAAACGAATCGAATATCCTTTCCATACACAGTCTCGAGTCATCATAGGTAGTAGAACACCAAGATAAATTCGCAATACATCCATCACATACAATGGATGCATTTTACTATACGGTGCTTCTTCAAGGAACGATGAACTTATATAGAGAGCAGAATTTGAAGCTATATCATGGTTAACACTGTCTAATACTGCTAAGACATTTTTATTCCAAATTCATAGAGCTCAACTATACTAATATGCCACAACTGAACTCTAAGATAAGATAATGTTACGAGCCAAATCTAGGTTAGGAAAGGCTGTTAATTCGGGTTATCTATATTAAGGCTTAGGTTAAGCTCTTATTTGTTTACTTAACAGTGCAATAATAAAACTCTAAGCAGAATTTATACCAAAAACACTAAAAGATCTTAATCTCCCTATAACAAGTCCTAAGGTTCCAGTCTTCCTTCGACTAGCTGAATCATCATCAATACCAAACACATGATCATAATAGATAAACATGCTCACCACAAGTTGAGGTCAGCATAAGTTTAGGGCTTTTTCAGTTTCTGCAAATTTCTATAGCGCTTTCTCAATTTATAGTACATAACAATATATATATATATATACACACAAATACACACACACCAGATTAGCAACAGACTGCACCTAATGCGTAGCATGATGATTCATAATGAATGCGAGGGATTCATAAGCAATATGTACAAATTCCGTATCCATTTATTCAGTTGCATTAAATTGGTAATCAGGACTTCGATGAGGGCAGTGTTATTAGAATAGGGCACAAAGCATGCATCTAAGGTTTCAGTTGGCATGAACTGTTGACCTGTTGTTTACTGTTTTCTTGAAAATTTTGTTCTTGTTTTCTAAATCCAAATAACCTGGACAATCAGGGTAAACACTTAAGTTTTCCTTTTTTTCAAGAGCAAGGCAACCATTATTGCTTCAAACACCTGCACCGATACTCGGCAGTTGCCCTGGGCAACTATCCCTTGCCTCGACTAACACCCCAACCACACCGATCGAATCACAACCAGGTTACCCTTTTGTTGATGAGACGATGTGGGTTGCGACAACTATGGACGGTTCACTGTTTCTGATTTGGACAGAGAGATGCAGCTCGTTGTTTTTAGAAGAAAAAAAATTAGTTACTTGTGTTTTCGTCTGTTGAAAATTAAAAATTACCGCATATTTTAGATTTTTTATGTGTTTTTATTGAAAATCTGTTTTCATTCCCTTGAATTTTATAAATTAGTTCATTCTTAAAATTTTAGAAATTCACCTTATAACATAAAATTTTGTGTTCATCACAGGTCTCTATAATATTCAATTATTTGAATTTAAATCTTGTTAATTTTAGTCTTAGCAATTTAGTCCCTCTATTGTTTTAATTTACAATTGAAGTCCACTTTATTTTACATCTTAGGGTGTGTTTGGATCATGGAATGTAAGATTACCGAAATGTAACATTACTCTGGGAATGTTTTATTACTTTGTTTGGTTTGCTTAGCAGGAATGTAAGATTACAATGTTTGGTTGGAAAAATATAAGATTATCTGAATGCATATTTTACCAAATTATCCTTGTGATATATATATATATTAACAAGTAAAATTTTAATATTAAATTATAAATATTTAAATAAAAATTTCTAAAAAAATATTGTAATTATTATACTATCTAATTTTAAAGAAAAAATACATTTAACATATAATTAATATAATTAGTATATTAAACTTATAATTTCAAATAATGTTCATAAGTATCATATTTATTTATATAAAATATAATATAATATGAAAAATAATGTTATGATCTCGAATAGACAAATATATTATCTTTTTAATGTATAAGATCTATTTTTAATAACTCAAAATTAAATATTATTTTAAATAATTATATTATTTTCCATAACAATATTTTCACCTCATAAAATTATAAAGTAATTAATATACTAAATATTAAAAATATAAAATAATTTTAACTACATAAATTTATCAATATTTTACTAAATTAAACTCTTTGTATATTATTATTATTAAGTTTAAAATTTTGAGTAAAACACAAAGAATAAGAATCGAGAAAGATCTATATAAAAAATTTATTGTTTCAAAGATATATATATATATCCAAACCGGTGGAATTGTTCATTACCTAAGAATTTAAAGGTAATGACATTCCCACCATTTTAATCTAAAAATATTACTATTAATAATAATTTATTACCTAATAATAATCTTTGACGTGAACTAAACATGAGAATATAATTCTGGAAACGAACCAAACACCGGTAGGGTGAAGGTTGTTGTGCATTGCTTACTAGTTTTCATGCAACTTTAAATTAGTCAAGTGAATAGTTTTTCATTATAAATAAGATACATGATTTAATTCTAGATATTATAAACTAAAAATTATTTTTATTAGAAATCTTTATAATACCTAATTTAAATTAATTAAATAAATTATTATATAAAAGTTGTTATAGAAAAAAAACAGCATAATGTGTCATCGTCGGTAGTGGGTCAGTGTCCAAAAACCATTTGTCAGGGAAGGCTGAGATAGTAGGTGGTGAGCATGACATTTCAGCGTGATGTTAATATCAGTTTTAATATACGATTAAAAAATATATTATCGAAAATATTAATATATTTTAATAATATTATTTTTTCTATCGAAAATATTAATATCGGACGTTATTTAAAATGTTTAATATTCTCGTTAAAGAGCTACCTAAAATATTATTTTTTAACGAAAATGTTAATATTGAGCGTTACTTAAAATATTATTTTTTCTACCGAAAATTAGGTAGCGAAATTATTATTTTCGGTAAAAAAATAATATTTTAGGCAACGTTTTACCGAAAATGTTAAAAAAATATTAACATTTCTGATAACACATCTTCTTAACCATATATTAAGACGGTCTTACATCAAACTATCCCATTTCAGCTCAAGTTTAATCTAAATGTTTTTTTATTAATTGAATTAGTGTTAACTGTGAATTCGGTTGTAAAATATTGAATTTTCCTTTTTATGAATGAAAAAAATTGAAATCTTTTTCAAATATTAATAAAAAAATATTATAATAATAATAATTTTTTATCTTTTTTGTTTTTATATAATTTTTGAACAAAACTGATAAAAACATTCATTTAAGGATCAAATCCATACCCAAAATGATTTATATATTATATTTTACCATTAATTTGAAATCCTTTTTGGATCAAAAATAATTTTTATATAAACCACTCACAATAATAATATGATAAAATCCAACGATATTAGACCAATGTAAAGCTATTTTGATTTACACTTTTATGAACTTTATGTAAGCTTAATGTTTTAAGAATTCTATTGTTAAATTTATTTATATAAAATTAAATCTATTGTTTAATTTTTTTTCGAGTCGAGTTTATTAAATTTGAATTAAGTTGTTTGAGTTTCTATACTAATTTTATTATAATTATTTATAGTATTATGGTGTGAAATGATTCTAATTTTTCGACTTTCTCTATCCATATAAGATGTATATTTCATATACTTTTTCACATTATGATGTTATTTAATGTATTAAATACAATTTAAAATTATAAAATATATTCACAATATTATATATTTTTTATTTTTGAGGGTAAAATATTTATGAGAGTATAAAAGAATCAAAGAATTGATAAGAACAAAGAATTTGTAAAAAATACAAAATAAGAATTGAAGTTACATATGTATTATTTAGTATAATTTTATAATCCGTTAAATTTTATAATTTTATACTCCTTAAATCTCTAGTATAATTTCTTAAATCTCACATAAAATATTTTTTATATATTTTTTAGAGTTTTTATATTTTTTAATTATCATGGTTTGATTCCTATCCTATAAAATTAAAACTCCAAATATTATATTAACATATCATATGATTTTAGCTAAAATCTTTATAATTGTCTGATTTTTTAATGTCAAATGTATTGTACATGATCTAATATGATTATATTTTAAATATTCATTAAAAAAATATATATGATTAAATGAGAATTAGTATATAACTATACTAGCCTTTGAGGTTGGTATAGTTTTAATTCATAATGCACGTATTGATCCTAAATTATTATTAAGGTTTTTTATACATAATTTTTTTAATGATTTTAAGTTATTTATCAACTAAATTATTAGCCAACTAATATGTTATATCAACTCAAATAAAATTATATATATATATATAATTTTTTTTAAAAATAGATCATAAATCAAAGATTGGCATAAATTGGGTCAATTTTTTTC